GAGGTGTGGGCCTAGGCGGGTTTGGCGTCGTGTAAGCGGCGGAGTGGAGCCACGGAGCCGTCGCCGTCAAGCGGATCAGGCCCTCTCCTCTGCCACCCACAGCCCACGCACCGGGCCCTCTCCTCTCCCCTGGGGTGCCCCCCCCCCCTCCGCTGCCCTAGCCACCCACTGCCCACCCGCCCCTCTCCTCCCCCAGCCACTGCCCCCCCCTCCGCTGCCCCCGCCTCCCGCTGCCCCCCCCTCCCGCTGCCCCCCCCACCCACTGCCCACCCACCCGCTGCCCACGAGGCGAGATCACGGTCGAGATCGAGATCACGGTCGAGATCGAGATCACGGTCGAGATGACGGCCGAGGGTTGTCTGCGGCTGTAGTCCGGAGCTGGTCGACTCGCACGGTGACGAGGCGCGAGCCGAGTTCCGGCGCGCGAGAGATGGCTCGAGATTCCTCGAGATTCCCCGAGATTCCTCGAGATTCCTCGAGATTTCTCGAGTTCCGGCGCGCGAGCTCGAGCTGCGAGATATGGGGGAGATATGGGGGAGATATGGGAGACGGGAGTTCCGGCGCGCGAGAGATGGCCCGAGATTCCCCGAGATTGCTCGAGCTGCTCTCCGGTACTCTCGGGAGTATCTCGGGGCCACCTCGCTGTCATCTCGCTGCCATCTCGCTGTCATCTCGCTGCCATCTCGCTGTCATCTCGCTGCCATCTCGCTGCCGAGGTCTCTAGACACGAGCTCGAGCTACCGCACCACCCAAGGACCTGAACCCACACCGGGTTCGAGACTCTGGAGGTATGGTACGCGCAGGCACGAGCTAGAGTTGCTCTGCTCCCTGCGGCACCGGCACATCGTCCAGTGCTACGGCGGCGACGCGGCGCGCGAGCTCTTCATCGTGACCGAGCTGATGGAGCGAGATCCGCGCGAGATCACCCCGAGATTGTCCGAGATCAGGCGCGCGAGCTCTTCATCGTGACGGAGCTGATGGAGCGAGATCCGCGCGAGATCACCCCGAGATTGTCCGAGATCAGGCGCGCGAGCTCTTCATCGTGACCGAGCTGATGGAGCGAGATCCGCGCGAGATCACCCCGAGATTGTCCGAGATCAGGCGCGCGAGCTCTTCATCGTGACCGAGCTGATGGAGCGAGGGTCGCTTGAGGACTGCCTGCGCGCACACCCCGCCGAGTTCCGGCGCGCGAGAGATGGCCCGAGAGATGGCCCGAGAGATGGGGGAGAGATGGGAGATGTGAGTTCCGGCGCGCGAGAGATGGCCCGAGATTGCCCGAGATTGCCCGAGATTGCCGAGTTTTGGTGGCAGCGGCTACCACACCATCAAGAACCCTGAACCCACACTGGATTCGACACTCTCGGGGTATGGTACTAGGTGGGAGCGGCTCGGCCGGCGCGTCCTCCTCGACACAGCAAAGGGGCTCCTCTACTTGCACGGCCGCGGGCTCGTCCATTTTGACGTCAAGCCACTCAACATCCTCGTCTCGGCGCGCACTCTATCTCCCCACATCTCCCGTATCTCCCCCTCATCTCCCCATATCTCGCAGCCGCTCGACGTCCTCGTCTCGCACTCCTAGACACGGAACATCTCCCCACATCTCCCGTATCTCCCCCCCTATCTCCCCATACCTCCCATATCTCCCCTGCACTCCTGTGTCCCAACCCACACTCGAGCGGACCCATACTCCGCTGTACTCGGCAGTGCTCCGCTGTATGCACGGTATTCGCCCCCCTCGTATCCACGCGGTGCTCTGTATACACTGCACAGCACTGTCCTCCCGCCCCCGAGGCTGGGCACACACCCAACACTCACATTCACTCTCTCTCTCTCTCTCTCTCTCTCTCTCTCTCTCTCTCTCTCGGTCCCTCCCTCCCTCCCTCCCTCCCTCTCTCTCTCTCTCTCGCACACACACACACACGCGCACACACGCACACACACACACACACACACACACACACACACACACA